AATCGTGGCGGTGTAATTCCGACAAAAATAGAGACACGCAATAAAAACTGAGTCACAAATTTTAAAAGTACAAGCCATGATAGGTATATTCAGAAGAACAACTGTATTGAACAACGGTATCAACCGACGTTATCTCTTTTATAACATAGATCCTTTTTTCTAAGTTTCATTTAAATTAAACAAGTATTACAATAGAAAAAGAAAAAATCTAATTCAAGAGCAGGCAAGTAAATTTTTGATCATTTTATAATTTCTTATTAATGTCCTTCGCTTGAGAAAGCAAATCTAAGTGATGTGTTATTAATTAAAAGAAAAGTGTTTGTTAGTATACAATACGTTATTTTCAGTAACAATAGTAATTTATTACAATAAAATGATCAAAATCAGACGTGTGTACACTGAAAAAAATGCATGTAATTTTACATAGAAATTACATGTTTATGACTGAAAAATTATCTAAATATGATAGAATTTCCAGTAAATTTCCAATCATATTTATGTAATTTAAGTAATAGTTGTCCAATCATATTTATGTAGTTTAAGTAAAAGTGTAGGGATGGGGTACTTTGGCTCATATCACAAGAAAAGGTTGGGTTGACTTATTGTACCGTACGTGTGAACATTCATTTATAATTTAACTCTGAAAAACACTTTATATTTAATATTTCTATATTAAAATAAGGTAGAACTAAAATTTATAAAAAAGGTAGAAAAAAAATTTATATTTATTTTTCTGTAACAACATATTTCACAGAGAATCAAATCGGGGCCGGACAGTTGGGTAAGTTCCTTGTAAGAAGTACATATCTACTCTCTAATTTTTATTTCTATTACTTTTCTATTACGTTTTTGTTAATTTAATATAGAATTTATCATAAAGGTAATTTATACTGTGATATGTACCAATTTACCCTACATATTGGGATAAGTTAACTACGTTGCAGCATGTTCATATTTCATTTATTGCAAAGAAAGTATACAGTGTGTAGAACTATTATTATTATGAAAATATAGAGAAAGATTCTCTCTATCACGCTGATGTATTTTAATCATAATAGTTTATTGTTTAAGAAATCTAATGCCAAAATTGTGAAAATTGTGCCAACGAGACCCGAGGTTTGTTTGCATTACAAGCTCCAACATGCTCCTACCATAGCTCCTTCTCACTTTACCAAGCGCGTTGGAGTGAGTAGGAGCTATGGTAGCAGCATATTGAAACATGTTGGAGCATGCAACGCGAACAAACCTCCGGTCTCTTCTAGGTGACGTCCTTTTCTATATCATATAATTTTTATTTCAAACGACGTATTTTGATAAAATTGCATATTTTTAAAATATTTGCCTGTTAAAATTAAATCACCTTGTATGCTATAGTGCATAGCACGCATCTGTATGATATTTAGCATTTAAAAATATATACAACTGACAATAAATACGTACACATAAACCACATTGTATATACGATATTAATGTATATAAATAATTACTCACGCGATAGAGATTAATACTCAGCGACAATACCCCTAGAGGCAATAATAATGAATACGGCCATTCAAAACTTTTTTTAAACATTTCGACAAACCTTAAATAGCAATAAATTTTAAATACACGTAGAGAATGTATATTCACATAAATAATTATAAATTATAAATGTGACTTATATTTATCAGTTATATGTGCTAATAATTTATATTCTTCATAAAATTTTGTAGTCTATATACATATTTAGAAAATTAGAAAAAGTGATGATATAAATCGCAAAATACAATAAAAAACTTCTAATCATATATAGGACAATTACGAACTCGATTGCTTTCTTGTACATATTAAACCCACTGATTATCCTTTGACATATTATTGAACTCCTTTCGATAGAAGATGCAGTACTTTCTAATCTATCTAAGAGCAATGCTTGTTCTATGCGGCAGCTGAAATTGATAATGTAATTGCATGTTTGAAAAGGCCGTTAAAACTTTGCTTTACCTGGCTATTTCAAATAAACCACAAGCATGTTGTGTGTATGACATAGCAAGCGTTTCGGTGGCTATTACCGTGGTAAAAGCACACATGACGCAAAGACATACTGCCAACAAAATTGGAAAAAAATATTTTTGCTGATCTAAAAAACATTCCATTAGAATCGGAAATTGTCGTGGACGGGATTCATTTTTATTCGATGTGATGTCCAAAAGAAAGTTTGATAAAAACAGTATCAGAATGAAGCAAAAATTAAGTACGTAGATAAACACTGTAATAATTAAAATCTGAATCAAAGTAATTGATTTTCAAATACAAAAGAAATATTCAAGATATTGCTTACAGGTTGTAGTCAATGTGATGTATCTTCCAAAATCTGCATATTCTTTTATTATTTCAATTTCTTGCACGTTATTTAATTCACTCCAATCATAAAGTAATCGTTTCATAAGGCTTCGAATCTGTATTTAACAATAACAGTTATTTACTATTTTTTCACAAAAATATCTTAAATAAAATAAATTAATTAATAAATTATCATTTACTTTTTCTATAAATATCTATGACTGATATCGAATGTTCTTACTCGTTTTATGTTTAAACAGATAGCATTATATTTTAATGTATAGGCTAGCCATGGGATGATATATGTGAGAATATGTAAAAGAATATCCACATTGTATTCTGTTGTGATGAAAGTCATTAGCTAAAAATAACATTTTCTACTTAAATTATTTCTACTTTTACATTAATAATAATTATTATTTAGAATAGCTTTAAAGAAATTATTCAAAATATAAAATACAAATAAGAAATTTTGGTTTAAATATTAATAAAGTTATTACAATTCTTTGTTATACTTTAATGTTTATAATAAAAAGGAAATGTCTTCTTTTTAGTTACAGTAATTATATATACAATAATTAATATCTTTTAGTGTACTTTGTTTTACTAATCCTATCATTAAATTGTATATAAAGTAAAGTAATAAGAAATATAAAAAAGTAATAATCATACCTGAAATACTATTGACAATACAAACATTATCGTTATAAAAGTTATTGCAATATATTTAAAAATAGACTTTTATGATACGGCCATAAGCCGATACATAGTAACAAAATTCGATTAATCGTATAATAACTGTTCACTGGGCAATCTTGCCATCTCAGTGCAAGCATCATAACGCGTTTATGCCGAATTTCTTTCCACGAATTATCTCATAGGTTCAGCATACGCTTGATTGTAGTTTACAATTCACTATTTGTATATATTTAAATAAAGTATTAAACTTGTGCGAAAAATTACTATAGAATACCTATAGGTTACTATCGGTTACTATAATCATGCAAATTATAGTTTAGGAGCATATTTGGCTAGTGTCTGTTCACAATTTTGAGTGAACGTTATTATTTATATGAGCTAATAATGTTTTTTCTCTGTATATATATTTGATATTGCTTTCCTACGTTCGATCGGCGCAAGCGCAATTGTAACGTCGCTTTCATACGTTTCAGACGTCCCTTCATTTCTATTCGAGACGCGGAACATTACAGTACTTTCCTTGCGTATTGAAATAATGTGTGCCGATATCATTTGAGATTAACGAGAAAGATCATAATGCAATAATTATTGGAAACTGTGATTTATGTACCATGCTTGACGAGCATTATGAAGATTACGTTATAAGTGCTGTGAGGACTTATTTTGGATTACATCAAAATCCTAAATTAGTAAGTTGCCATAACTATTGATGCAATGTATTATTTACACTATAACATAATTACACTTAAAACTCATTATATTGTGACAAATATACAGTATAGTCTTTTTGTTAAATTAATTTATTAACGTTAAATTGCCGAAACATAAATAGGAGAGAGTTGCCGAATGCGTACCACTTAACCTTTTATTTTTTATTATATTTTCCATTTGGCATTGTTTTGTATGCAAATGAATATTAGAAATTATAGCTTGAGGTATTGGACGCTTATTATTACATGTTTGACTTTCCACCAATAATAAATTAATTTATTATAAATCTTTTTGTAATATACTGCAAAAGGTATGATTTAGGCAACCGGTCGCCTAAATCGTACCTATAGGTATTTTTTATTGTATTTCCTTTGAAAGTATTAAATTTATGAATGAAAA